CCCGGTAAAACAAAAAAAAAAAAAAAAAAAAAAAAAAAAGAGTAGGAAAGAAGGCAGCCCACCACGAACCCTCCCAGCCCCGGTTCCTCTTGGAGATTTCTCATTCCCAGTCACAGATCCCTCCACTATTTCACCTCTCAGATCAGAGGACCAGGGGGGCTATAGCAAGGAAAATCCCTGCAGGGAGCATGGCTTCGCTATTTTCTATGATTCTGTATTTACTGTGGATAATATATTGAAATATTCCGATCATTCTAATAATAACTCAGATCAGCAGATACTTCAGAGTTTACAGAGAATGTACTTTCTTGTCTTTCATCCTCATAACCCACCTAGGGGAGGTTCATGTTCAGTGGGCCTTTTTTCTATTATTATTTTTGGCTGCGTTTTGGCATGCGGGATGCTAGTTCCCTGACCAGGAATCGAACCTGTGCCCTCCGCAATGGAAGCGCAGGGTGTTAACCACTGGCCTGCCAGGGAAGTACCCAGTGGGCATTTTATGGAAGAGGAAAGTGAGGCTAAAAGGATTGAAGTGGCCTGATCCCTCAAGAGGGGGAGCTCCCCTTCTGTCCTGGGGCTCTGTAGCTCCCAATCCGCTTATCTGCCCTCTGCCAGGAAGTATGTCTTGGGCATGTTGGTTTTGAAAATTAGGGAGTGATTTGATATTTGGATGACATTCTGCTTCCAAAAAGCTTCAGAAACACTTTAGAATCATGACTAAATCATGATATCAAAGAATACAAATAGTAAAGAGAAATGACCAGTTCCAAGTCAGACTGCCTGCCAGAGCTCCTGAACCCCAGCTCAGAGAGGGCTGATGTCGAGGGTGGATACACACACACTAACATATACACAGAAAAAGGCCCCTAAGACAAGAACCCCAAATCTCTGCCCAAATCCAGTTTCCCAGCACAGTCTCATACCCCAAAGAATTCCCACCTGGAGCTGACCATGTGGCCTGTAGAGTCTCGTGGCTGGGACCTGGGTTGGCATCAGCTCTGGGCCCTACTTTACATTTTCCTCTTTTTTCAGAACGTGATGCCTTTGACACCTTGTTTGACCACGCACCAGACAAGCTGAACGTGGTGAAAAAGGTGGGAAAGAGGTGCCTGAGAGGGAGGAAGGGAGGGAGGGAGGGGGAGAGGGAGAGAGAGAAAGAAAGAAAAAGAAAGAGAGAGAGAAAGAAAAAGAAAGAAAGAAAAAGAAA